CTACTACTACTACTACTACTATTACAACTACTAATATTACCACTACTATTAATGAGACTACCACCATTACTGCTACTACGGTCATAACTAATACTTCTACTGCTACGGTTGCTATTACTATTGCGACTATCACTACTACTAATACCATTACTACCCCTGCTACTATTATTAACACTGCTACTACAGCAAGTACCGCTACCGCCTTCATCACTATCAGAAAGGTAGACCACAACCTCTCTTATGTTTGCTGGCACGTCTTCCAAATTTGGCTTATTTAAAGACTCGATTGTTACAGTGCATACAGTAGGTCTTCCTACACAAGGAGAAAATGCCCTAACGTCGAATAGGGGAATTTTACTAACCTGGGGTTGCATGTCCCTGTCACCGGTGTCCACAGTGAGTGGACGCAAGTGCCTCTGAGGAATGTTTCCTGGGGAAGCCGCATTGGGTAAGTTTTCGGCGGAGGTCAGACATTCTTTGAGCAGGGACTTGGTCAAGTTATCTGAGACGTCGTAAATGCCCCGTAGGCGTTTACAAACAGTGCCCATAGCCTAAAAAAGAAGACCGAGCTACGTTCCAGACGGATCCGTATTTGGGTAAAAATTCGAATAAAACGTACTACTGAAGCATAGCAAGTAGTACATGCTGCGCACTACATAATGCTTGCGTAGGTGAAGTGAGAGCTGTAGCCCCGATCACCGCGGACAAACGTACCTCAGACATTACTTCATTGGTTAGGAGGCCCACAGTCTCAGTGAACTTGCTCGGCAGACCCTCCAGTACTGCTCCTAAGGAAGCGCCGCAGCTAGAATCACGAAGATTTTCGCCTGACTTCAACGGCCTCGAGGGCATGTTTTGCCTTAGCATTTTCGCAGGATTTTGGAACCTGAGACGGAATGAACAAGGCAAGTGAATAATAAAGCAGCAAAAACCTGTGGTGGCGGGATTTTAACCCATAACAGCCAGACTGCTGAGAAGACCAACAACAACGAAAACTCACGAGGAGAAGGCGAAAGATACTGGAACAGGAGGCGAATCCTGTCGGTACTCGGAGCAGCGGTCTGGGGACGGTGCGAGGGTACGTTTCGGGTGGCTCCGATAACCCCGATGGGACCGCTGGGGTACAAGGTGGGTGCCGCAGGCCTGCAGGGCCTCTTTAAGGGTCACTCTGGAGAGGTGACGTGCAAACCGGTCAACAATCCGCGCCTCACGAGTGGAAGGCAGGTTGGTGGCGCCGAAGGATTCGCGGTCCACCGGAAGGCGAGGGATGTCATCTGTTTCTGACGACAGGGGGACAACAAATAAGCCAATAAACAGGGCTTTCCAAGGTTGTTTCTACCACAAATGATACTCTTTTTTTGTTAGTACTATTATTATCAGACAATTGCCGTCACTTAGGGGAAAATTGTCAAGCACATACGATAACAAGCAGATAGTCTTCCCGTATATACCCTATCGTAATCATGCACTAGAAGACCAACACTTTGGACTGTGTCACAATTCCGCACTATATAAGGGATTTTGAAAGTAAAATTAGTCAGATTAATAAAAAGGCTCGCCGCTCGCCTGAATCATGGCTTTATTCGTCAAAGCTCTCGAACTCTAACCGGAATCCATCTTCAGATATGATGGCGGCCACAAAAACAAGCAAAAATTATATGGATTGGAGTCAATAAAACACCAGTGACGCCAGTCCGAAGGTGACTGCGCAAGGCCTTGTATGCCTGCGCCAGATCGATAAATCGATTTACTGAGTTCTCACCGAGGACTCAGGCTTCAGTCAATTCTCGACTGCGTGGACGACTGTCCCCGTGGATAGGAGGTTAAACTCGTGGCCCTTCTCGTAAGTGTGGGCAACCACTCTTAATAATACGCCCCCTCCCCTCTTACAGACAACTTATGTTCGTGTGTACGCGAACCAAGCATGCGTCCAGTCCCTCCTGCGTAGATTCCAGGACAGTTAAGGCACGGTAAGTGATAGAACACACTTGAGTGCTCACTAGGAT